GAAATGTTTGCATTTTTGGTTTTTCGGGTTTTGTGGACGTTAGGGTAGGCGTGGCTAGATGGGATAAAATTAATTTCCATTTGGAGCATCATAAAAACCTACATGCTTAAACCGAACTTTGTATCACTTATAGTTACCGAGATATCAGCTCTTCTAGAAAATGCGAAAACCGTCTTTTAAGCTTGGTGGGCGTATGGTACCACTATAAAATGTGCTGGCATCTAAAGATTACCCAACATCTCGTAGTGAGCACCAATTTAAGGTTCAGTTTCAAGACAGAAAAAAGTGATTTATTTCGTTTTCGTTTTTTTTTTGTGTAACTTGTTGCCAAGAAAATTGGGACTTTTTTTTTTTTTGGGACTTTCCATCCCTCTTATAAATTGGTTGTCTTTTATTTATTGGCCAGTGCATCATTTTCCGCTAAGTGTCGTTACATATAAAGGAGAGAGCCACTGACCGAATACCACACATACACACTCTCGCACTGATATCGCTGCCAGTTCTTTCGACCCTCTCTTTCTTTGCATTTTTGTTTCGGTCGTTGGACAAGTGCAAGCGCTGTTGTTGTTTTACGCAGCGTTTTCGGTATGCTGGCTGAGCTTGAGGCACCCTTTAAATTTTGTGCCTGCGGCGTATTAGTGGCGAAAAAATTATTAAATAAAATATTAATTTTATTTTGTTTTACGTTCGTAATATTCCACTCTTTTTTTTATTTTATACGTTATTTCTTTCGAATAAAAATAAATTTTTGATCACACTCTTTGATTCTTAAAAAATTTGTATAAACAATAACATGGCGAGCAAAGATATCGAAGAGCTTAAAAATACACGAGATGGAATAATGCGGAGTATACCCCAAACACAGCAATATTTACAAGAGGGTCGACTATTTCTAAATCCGAATTAGAATGTCGATTAGAAAGTTTGAATTCGCACATTGAAAATACTTATTTGATTCAGAATCAAATCGAAGCAAAAGACGCAAAGGATTTGTTCCACGAGGAACTGGAAGAGACTGCCGTAATGGCAAAATCATTACTAATTTCGCCAATAAGCAAAGGCAGGCAAATGAGCGCCGATGATGCTGCTCCGCCGGTGTTTTCCGAGCGTTGCTCTTCCAAACTTCAGCGGAAGGCTCTCCGAATTTAAATATTGTGTAAGCCTTTTCGAAACATTTGTCGACAAAGATGACACTCTGCACGATATTGAAAAATTTAATCATTTGATATCGTGTCTGGCTGGCGACGCTTTAGGCACAGTCAGGGCGTTCCAAGTCACTGCGGTTAATTACCCCAAAGCCCTGGCTAGCCTGATGTGTGTGTACGATAATTATTTTCTGCTTTTCTTCGACCATATATCGACACTTTTCAATCTGCCGAAAATGTCCCAATTATCAGCTACAGCCTTGAGAAACTTGATCGAAGCAGTCAGAGCTCTTTATGATTCTCTGCTGTATATTGGGGATGACAAACGGACAACGAATGCCATCCTCATTCATATAATAATGAGCAAAGTCGGCCCAGGAACAAAGAGAAAGTGGGAAGAACAGTTGGACTATACTTCGCTTTCTCTTTGCCAGGGACGACCCTGCCTTATGCGTGTTTTGGGGGCCAGAACTTCTCACTTTACAAAAAACTGTTCTCGGCTGGATAGTGTCAGGGAGATGTGCCTCGGGAAACAAAATAAAGGAAGAAAATTCGGTACATCTCAGCAGTCAGGAAAAAGCGTTGGAGTCAATAGACACCACCCAGCAGAAATTTTGGTTCGTACGGGATAGGAGCATTCAATAACCGACCATCAACTCGGAGCAAAGTAGAGGAGCACCAATCTAAGCTATTTTCCTGCACAAAAGGATTCCATTTCTGAATATTGGGTGATACCGGTCTCTGTTTCCGAATTTTGCCTATGTCGTCATTGAATTCATGAGATTGGATAACTTCTACAATCTTTTCGAACGCAAAATTCAGTTCTCTTGGCGTAATATTTTGTTCGAAAGGCATTGACACTTTCTTACACTTTCGAATAAATCGAAAAACACACACGAAAACTCTCATAAGCTTCAGGTGCGACGAAAAGGACTCTATTTTCTGAAGCACGCTATTAGGTTCTGATGTAGCGATCAGAGTTAACGAAGACTTGCGTAACTTCATAGACACAACTTCTGAAGCTGGTTCGAAGTGTGAGTTTACAGGTCAATTGCTTTCTGAGTCGAGTAAAAACGATGGCCCAGCGAACCAGATGGATGTGACAATCTCTTCAACGTCGCATCCTCGAGACACTATATCCGCTGGGTTCACTTTCGTAGGGACGTGTCGCCAAATTGCTTTATCCGACCGCTCTTGGATTTCCGCTACTCGGTTCGAAACGAAAACCGACAACGACGAGGGATGGGATTTAATCCAATGCAAAGTGATCTCGGAGTCAGTCCATAGGACAACTGTACTTATTGGGCAATTAATTAGTGGCTGTACATAATTAAGAAGATCTGCTAAAAGGTGAGCTGCACAGCTCAAGGCGAGGAAAAGTTTTCGTCTTGAGGGGAGCTACTTTTGATTTGGCTGTCAGTAATGACACTTTTAAACCTTCAGCAGTTTGAGTGCGAACGTAGATACACGCTCCATATACTCGCATGGAAACGTCAGCGAAGCCGTGTATCTCAATCGGAACCTGCGGATCTGTGTGAACGAATTGAGCAGTTGAAGCAAAGCTGCCTTAAAGGCTTCCCACGACGATAGTAACTGCATTGTAAGCGACTCGTCCCAATATATTTTTCGATGCCGCAGCTCCTGTAGAAGCATCTTTGCCTTTGTGACCAAAGGACACAATAGGCCCAATGGATCAAAAAGCCGCGCAGACACCGAGCCAGGTAACCAAACCACGCCAAGGGTTTTGGTTACGTCTGAGTCAGGCAATAATGGCATAACAGCGCTCTCAGATGCGGAGATCTCTGGGTAGTTTGAAAACCACTTTGTCAATTCAAAACCTGCCTCTAGCAAAACCAGAGAAACTTCCACACGAAGGCTTTGCAGGTTATCAACGCTTCCGGCGCCTGTCAACAGATCGTCAGCATAGAAACTAATATACAAGTGCCCTTCGTGGGTCTTAATTAACGTAAATCTAACTGCCCTCCGTGGGTCTTAACTAACTTAAATCTTGGTTCCCTCCGTGGGTCTTAACTATTCCTTAAGCTAACCTAAATCGTAGCTTACACACTACTCTTAACCATTATACATTGGGGGCGGGGCCGCATGAGGATTACCTCACATCATCATATATTGAAAACTAAAAACAAGACACAAATACAAAAACAATGAAATAAAGAAACAATAAGATAAACACATTTTTTTGTTAAAGTGAATCTGAAATTTTAATAAACAACTTGAAACTTTCCTCAAGACGTTCCGAATCCTCCTAAGTCAGGAATAAACAAAATCGGAATTTACAAATCGGATGCATGAGTGTGAAGTGACACTTTATTAGGATAAACAACTTCCATCAGAATCCACTCTACTATAGCGTTTCTTCTTGTTTTATATAAATTTTTGATCAGCCCCAATAATCGAGGCGATAAATTCATATATGTACATGTATGTACGTCTTTACGTCCTTTTTGTTAATATGAACGCTAAAGCTTGCAGATTCCGTAACAAAGGTGCGCAGCGCAAGTTTGTGAAAAAATTTCGCATTAAAATTTTTCGGGGGAAAGCTGGTAAAAAGAATACTAATTTTGACCTACTTTTAATTTGTTCAATGTCTATTGGATCTTTCAGCGGCTTCAGCGCAAACCATTCGTTGTTAAAAAAGGGGGTACACGGTCTGAGCGCAACCGAAAATGAGTACTTTAAATCTGACCAAAGTTGGTGTTATGATGTACCTGTGTACACAAATATCACCTAAGGCCAAAATATGGTGGTTCTTCCACAAAAGAAGTCGAATATTTCGTGTTTATCGATGGTATTAAAAACCAAGATCAAAATTCTTAATGAAAATTCGAGCAGTTTACGGAGAATATGGGCATTGGGGGCACTTTTAAGTTTTAACAGGACAATAAACAAATTAAGAATTTATGTAGTGAAATGGATCCCCGTCTGTAGAAGAAACCGATATACTCACTATCGGAGTGAAATTGGCTCAAACGAAGTGGAGGAAACTGTCAACAAAAAAAATTATTACAAAATTGTCCAAAACACTGTTTTAACAATTACAAAATACTAATTTGGTTAGTTGAAATGAACAACCTTTTGTCAAAAAAACTTGTTTACTAAATGAATATGACGTCACTGTCCATGAGAGGACTCTCGCCAAGCTGCGTGGCATCTCTAAAATAAGTATTTCTACGCCCGAGATTTTCTTATTATTGGTTTTCTGCGTTTTTGGGGGTAAGACTGGGCGAGGCCAGATAGTGTAAAAATAATACGCACTTCAGGCGTCATTAGAAACTACATTCTTAATCCCTTTTTATCATTTATAGTTACAGAGTAATCAGCTTTTCTACAAAAAGCGAAAACTGGCATTCGAGCTTGTTGGGCGTTAGAGTGGGTATGCTTTGTGGTACAACCCTTTATAGGGTCGGAAACGCTTCCTTCTACCTGTGCTCTTTTCATTTTAGCTAAAGTCCTAATATAGATATAAGTCTATAGAAATATAATAAGATAAGCTTTAATAATTTTCTTTGCGTTTGAAGTTGAATAAAAATAAAACCGAATATTAATGTAATGTATGTACACTTTCATTGAGATTTATCCGCCAGTTGCATTCGTCTCACTGCTAAATTTATCGGGGATTTATGAAGATTTGGCTTTTCAAATGAATCTTATAAAAATGAAATTATCACAGAAAGCGCTTTATTATAAACTGAATAATTAAAAAATTTGAATAATGCATCTCAGCATTAGTCAGTAATTAACAATTTATTTTTATACTTAACGTTGTGCATGCTGCAGATATTAAAGTCTATTTATAGGATGACCACAAATTTTAAGTAAAAACCAAAAATGACACAGCTTTAATATGACATTTTATTAAGGTTATAATTGTTAAGCAATAAGGTCTTAATTGCCTTTATTCGTTTTTACTTCAGTTTTGTAAATAGACTGTGAGCAACACAATGGTCCAATTCAGCAACATAGTCAAACAATTCCTCCATGCAAGTTTCAGTTGTTTTGGTCCGCCCATGCACACGATCATTGCATTCTTGATACTTGTTGTACAATGATTCAATATGACTTTTAGCTTGGCATTTTTCCTGTCGTAAAAAGAAGTCATTTTTTTTCCATTTAGTTATTATATATTTTACCCTTAATGCTGCTTGAGGATCAACCAACTCCTCTTCGTCGTCTGCTCTAACGAAGGGAAGCGAAAAAAAGTTCTTAAAATCCATAATAATTGGAGCTGTAATTAAATGGTTTAAGTAAATACGAAAGTTTATATAAATTATATGGATTTTTAGAATAAAGTATTGTATGCAACGTCTTTAAAATTATATATAATAACCTTCTAATACGACTATGATGCAATCACAATATATAATTTATCGACCGTCTGATAAAGAAGGTTGCCAGACCGACATAAAGCGAAAAAAAAATATTGATAACTTCGCAATAGATTGTTTGCCATTGTCCATAACATCTTCTTCACACAGTACTTTAAAAGGTAGGACACAATATATATTTATATCTCTTCATACAAATGGAATTTGATACGAAATCCCACAATTTTGACACTGTCATGAACCTGTACCTTGACACACACTTTTTTCTGATTCCGTATTACTCTTCCTAAAAAAAACTGTGCTTCGAAAATAAAAAAGTTAATATATACGATTTTTCAAATGTATTCCCAGAAAGTGACCTTTGAGGTATATAAAACATAATATCATATTAACTAAGCATTCTATATTTAACAGCTGCATATTTAAAAACTTTAAATTGACCAGAACGTTTTGTTTGTTGTATGCAAAGTCAAAAAATTTTGTTTAATATGAATATTTATAGATCTTGATATTAATTTAATGAGTTGCGCTTTGTGTGAACGCCTCACATCAATATCTTGGCGGCTGGATGCAAACATTATTATTAAGGAATGCCGCTTATATATCAACATAAATAGTCGAAATAATTTTGTAATTTATCTTGTTATTCATGTGTTTTATATTATGATTATATCCTTATTTGAGCTGGGAAAATAAAAATCGTCTCCGAAATCCTTTAATGTATTGGGCATTGCATTAAGAAAGAAGGAAAACTAGTACTTAGTATCCTTTAATAATTTTAAATATTATTAATAAAATTTTAATATGGCTGACAGACTTACGCAGTTGCAAGATACCGTTAATCAGGTATGTCAATAGAGTTCATATTTATATGTACATACATATATCAATAAATTGTTAATGGTAATTTCAGCAAGCTGAGAACTTTTGTAATGCGATTGGTGTAATTCAACAAACTTCTTTTCCAAGTAAATTTGTAAATTTCGATCGTATAGGATCCCAAACGCCAAACTCAATCCAGCCACAAGAAGACTATGCACAGCTATTCGCTCAGTTAATTGCACGTTGTGCCAAAGATATAGACACATTAGTAGAGTCTTTACCTAATGAAGACAGCTCTATTGAACTTCAAAACTCCAGCCTTAAGAGGCTCGAGATCGAAAATCAAGAAACTGCACATGAGCTTGAGGACGTGGTACAAAAAGGAGAACTTTTGCTTGAAAAAATGCAGTCTGCTTTGGAAAACGTCGCACAAGCTCAATTGGATATGCAAAAGACATTGAAACCACATTTCCTATAAGCGTAAAAATTAAATAAATATGTAAATACATACATATGTACATATGTACAAATGGAAAAAAGGTTTGTGGCCCGGTGACGGTGCTGCTCTCGAACGGTCGGATGAGGTCGTGGCCCCGGTAGGGTGCCCGCAGGGAAGTATGGATGGCTGCTGATGGTGTGGCACCGGCAGGGTGCTTGTTGGGTGGCAGCTGTCCAAGTGGTTACTTAAGGATTGCAGGCCGGACAATAATGTTGCTCCTAGATGGCCGCTGATGATGTAGCACCTGTATGGTGCTTGCTGCTGTGTCAGTTTATGGTGAAAGGATGATTGCCCTCTATACCCCTGCCCTAAGCTCAGTGGGGAATGTAAATAAGTTGACGGCGGTGGGCGTAGTCAAGTTTACGGGCAAAGTGCTCTTTATTCAAATAAATATAAAACAGAACTGAAAAACCTAACTGTACGAAAAATGCTGATGATTGCAGAATGAGCATAACTCACCATACCGCGAACCAATGAGTCCCATGCACGGCCCACAAAGGCGGAAAGCTGAGTCGGCATCTAGAAACACTAGAGTGATCCAAGAATCATCCGAGATTTCTTCGGACTATTTGTTACCCTTCAGTAATGTTAACTACTCCCGCTTGAAGTAAGACCGTCCTCGGTCGCCTTGAATGTTTCGGCAACCTGTTGCATATCCCATGCATCTCGTCTTCTCTTCCACACGAGATGGATCAGGATGAAACTGCTAATTAAAAAGCTTACTCCCACGCCGACAACGATCCAGATGTCTGTTAATCCAACCGACTTTACTTCGTTTTCGAGGGTTTTAGTATACAGAATGCAGAATGCTCCATACATTGTCGACATGCAATCAGTGATCGCTAAGACATCCTGGTTGCAATCAGCTATCACGTTGTCCCGTAGTTGGAGAATAGTGTGTTGGTGGGAAACGGAAAAGACGGTAGCCTTTTTACATGTAAATTTTATCTTAGAGTATGCGATGAGCACGTGTGTAGTATTATCGGACTGAAGGATTTTAATATTAGATGCCTGTATTAGGCCATTAACGGGGACTTCTGTGGGGTGATCAACTAAAACGGGCTTCTTCATGGTAAAAATAGTCGGGTTTATGATATTTGATTTTGCAAGTGTGATCGAGAGTATTAAATTCTGTATCTCTGTAATTAGCATTATATTTCTGGCCAAAGGAACTTCGTATGTTTGGTGTCAACCAGGTCATTCGTTTTTGCCTTGATGATTTCATTGGCAACATCGTTTAATTTGTTGATCTGCCTTTGCGTTTCGGTGTTAATGACTACTTGTCTATTGTTGGATTCAGTTAACCGGGATTCGGACATTTTTAACATTTCGAGGTCAGCTGCATCAGTAGTGCCCGCTACCACTTTTAAGGTGGTGCCTATAAAGTCTAGGCTTTTGGCAATTTGGTGGTGTACCTTTAATACAGATAAAATGTTTTTAATATGATCAATATCAACGTCGAACAATTTTCTCATGTGTGATTGAGTGATAACATAATTGAGAATAATGTCAAATTGCTCGAATGCATAAAGTAATTCATATATACCGGACATGAGTGTAGTCTGTCACTCTAGCGTTAACTACTGCTAATATTGTTAATATGATTGCCGCGATCCTGTAAGAAAAGGACAAGTTAAATCTACTTGCTTGTATTCAACTAGTTCCACTGTATCATTAATTTGCTTATCCAATTTGATGTACGTAGTTTTTTCTGTCAGGGTGCTGTGAAGGCGTTCAATTTGCCCGTTTGAACTACTATGCAGCGGGGGTGCATTTACAAGATTTATGGCATACTGATTTTTGAGTAACGAGGTGATAGTTTCAGAGCTGAAAGACGCTTCGTTATGACATTATATTGTCTTGGTATTTGGGAATAAATTTATTAGTTGGATGATATGGATTTTTACGTTCACTATTGCCTTGAAAACTTGTCGATGCAGGTTAAAAATAATAATAATCGGTGGAAAAATGTCAATATGCAGCATTTCGCCGACATATGACGGAATTGAAGTTCTTGTATCTTGGGGTGTCTGTTATCCTTGCTGTAGTGCATATTTTGCAATTTGTTACTACTTCGGTATTGGCTTGATGATTGTTTTTAATGTTTTTAAAAGGTCGGATTTTTCTGTGAAAACTATGATATTTCCGAAAAATATAAAGTATCCCTTCAGAGAATATTTTGCATCTTCTAGGATTATCTGATTTTTGAAACAATTTAAAGGTTTTTCAGTTGTTTCTATCGTATAAGTGTTTGATTCTTCACTATGAATTGTTGCACAATCAGATTCGGGTTTGTGATGGAGGGCATTGATGTTTTGTCGCGAAAGGGCGTCGGCGACATAATTCATTATTTGTCCAGAGTGTATATGACTTTTGCACCGAAGTCATCTATAAATGCCTTCCATCGCTTTAATTTGTTATTTGGGTTCTGTGTAAATTCTTATGTCACGAGTGCCATACAAATACTGCGTTAATTTTCCTAGAGTCCAGACTATGGCGAGCAACTCTCTTTCGTTAGTTGCGTAATCGGCCTCGGTGTCTTTAAGGGTTCTGGACATCATGGTTATGGGCTTTTTGTCTTGCGATAGTACAGCCCCGATGCCGTAAGTTGACGCATCGGTGGTCAGATCAAACGGTTTCTTAAAGTTTGAGTATCTGAGAGTGATATCTTCTGAGATAGATATGGGTTTTTTCTTGTGAGATGGTCATGTTGGCTTTGTTTAATTTTTTCAGGACCCAGTCAAAGTGCTTGACATGCTCTTTTTAATTTTCGCGATCTTGCTCCACAAGAAAAATCTGGAGATAGTCGGATCTTAAGACTAGGGTTGTAAATTGTATTTGGCTTTGCCAGTATAGACTCGATACTTGGTATCAGGAATGGTTTCGTTCAGTTTCATATATTCCTTTTTATCGACCACGCAAGTTGGATTGTTGTACGGTTATCTCGACGGCGTAATATGATTAGACTTGAGTAGGTCTTTAATTTCTTTATTAACAAACTCTGCGACGCCCAGGCAGCCGTCGTTCGATGAACGGTAGCCGTTGGGTGTGTTGGGAGACGATGGATTCCAGTTCATGGGCTCTGCTGTCTGACGTGGGTTGCCACGGTCGGCAAAATGATCTGGCTTACGCCCAAAATCTTTTTGTTGGTTCCTATATGTTTTTTTTTTAATAATAACGATTGTTGGGTCAAGCAGCCAAAGCAAAGACGCTTGAACAGCGGCAGGTTTATCAGCAGTTTCTAGTTTGTTTTGATTGTCCAGTCTTGCATGCGCTTTACTGTTACTTTGTAGGGCATGCGCTTCTGTGAGCTTTTGAGAACTGCTGTAGATAGAAGTTTTTTAGTTTTAGCTGTACTCCTCTTGCTTTCGGCGTGGTTTTGTTGCGGAGTTAATTTGGTTTTGATTTAAACTCGTAATAAAAATTTGGAAATTGAACTGCCCCGATTTATTTCTTCTAAAGCAACTAAAAACTCTTAGTTGCTCAACAAGGATTATTTTCGTTCCCTTGGTTATCGGGAGCGCGGTACTGACCCTTACGAAAGTCAGAATGCCAATGCCAATGGAAGGTCCTTTGGCTGAGCCGGAAGTACAACTGCCCTCAGGTTTATTTTAGGCCTAAGATAAGCCCTCACCTCTGTGCTGAGTTGTGTGACAGAGGTTAGCTTACGCTCAACCTCATCATAGTATTGCATGAGTTTTTTCAGCGTAGGAGCAGTCTAATCTTGCCAGAATGGGATCGAAATTAAGTACAGTGTTGCGTGATACCAGAAACGCTCGTGCTGGGTCCCTAATTTTATTTCTGATTATGGTAACGGCTTGATAATTGCCACTGCTGCCATATTAAGGCTTAAAGACTTCGTATGCTACCGTGGCACATTGTCCCCACGCAACATACTCGTCTTGCTCACCGTTAAAATTTGGCACTTACCAAATTACGTGGAGCGGTATATAGCTGATCTGAGACTCTTTGGTATGCCTCCAATTGTGGGGGCTCTACGCGCATATTTTGTAACTGCATATTAAGGGAGTTGATTTGAGCTTCAAATTCTGGCCGGAGTCTAACCGCCTGTTGCGCTAAGGCGCCCTGAGTAATGTTTTGGAATTCCTTCGAATTCATTAAGACTAATTCCTCTCCAATTTGAACCAGTCTTGGTCTGGAGCATTGGATCTCTTCTGCTTCACTATAACTCACAACTTCCCTTTTAATTTCTACGGACTTACGGACCTGGAAAGTTCTACAAACATAATACTATAATATGTTTATACCCGTTACTCGCGGATTAAATGGGTATACTAGATTTGTTGAAAAGTATGTAACAGGTAGAAGGAAACGTATCCGACCCTATAAAGTATATATATTCTTGATCAGGATCAATAGTCGATTGAGCCATACCTGTCTGTCCGTCCATCTGTCCGACTGTCTGTCTGTCCGTATGAGCGTTGAGCTCTCAGTACTATAAGATATACAGAGTTGAGAGTAGGTATCAAGATTCTTGAGATCCATACGCAGCGCAATTTTATTACAGCATCCTGCCACGCCTACTCTAACGCCCACAAATCAAAACAACTAAAATCGCTGAAATCTAAGGAACTATTAGAGGTAGGAATAGCTATTAGAGCTGAAATTTAGTATGTATAATCCTTAGACGGCAGCGCAGAAAGTTCGGATTACACATGTAGGTTTTTACGTTTTTTTCCGATCAAGCCACGCCTACTCTAACGCCCACAAAACCCGAATAACAAAATTGTGAAAATATCGGAAACTATAAGAGCTAGAAAGGTGTGCTTCAGAATACGCATATATGAGACGCCAATCTAACGCCCACTAACCGCGAAATACTGTAACGTCCATAATTATATTAGTGGTTATAAGGCCTCACATGGGCAGTGACGTCACAATCAATTACTCAATATGCTTTCTCGGATAATAGATGGCGCTTTGGGAATTAATTAGTAAAAGTCTACTTTTATAAGAGAGAAGGTTTATGTTTGCACCCAATTGAGACCGCGGAG